TATGGGCCAGTTCCTTTTTTAACTCAAAGACCCTGGCACCATCAGCTTTACCATATCTCTCTTCTAATTCGTTATATATCCTTAGCAAATTCAGAATACTCTACACTTCGAGCAATATCTTTAGACAAAGAGTTTACTAGCCAAGATATTACAAGATCATTGCACCTTTGCCATTGTCTAGCTAAGCGTGATTCATCAGGAGGTCTCCCAGTAGCACCAGTTATAAAATCAATTTTATTTCTAATAGACAAAGCAACTAACACAGTGCGTCTGCAGCTACCATAACATGTTCCATCAAAAGAAGTGGAGACCAGAGAAGTCCCAAGTACATCAGAAGGGTGAACATATAAGGGGTGTCAGGGATGTGTATAATCGTCCTCATGAAACACAATACGCGAACCAGTAGAAGATGCAGGTGTTTGAGTGGGATCAGAATTACCATTTGCAATATTGGCAACAAATTAAAAAAAATCAGCTAAAATAATGAGAATACCAACAACTATATGACCAGAATAGGGGAAAATAGAAAATGTATACCAACCTCTTTCGCAACCAGAAAGAGAACGGCCTTCAAAGATAAGGAAAATGAATGAGAAAACCCTAGCTTAAAACCCTAGCTCGAAAGACGGTCAAATCCTGAAGAGTATCGACCAAACCTTCAGATTTAACATCGAAAAACTCCATCGCGCAATGAAAACCCATCGGAAACAGAAGAATCAACCGAAAATATCACCGAATCGACGAACACTGTTGGAATTCGAAAATTCGACGAAAACCAGCGAGGGTAGAATTGGTCGGAAGCGTAACACTAAATAAGCACGGATTTGTGCTCTGATACCATGTTAATGTTCATTATTCTCATAGATTCAATGAAGGGGGAACTTAGGGTTAAAGAGAGAAAGAGAGAAGATTCGAGATATTTTTTATTGACTTAGAACAAAAATGAATCATCTAACTATTACAAAACTGGGTCCCTCTGTGTATATACATGGCCCAATATATGTAAAGAAATAAAAAGCTAACTAAAGACTAACTAATGGGCCTAATATGATGTACATAAATAAATAATAATTAGACCTGGGACACACTGATTTCGGCCTATCTCAACAAACAAAGCAAAAAAAATTCAAACGTATGAATCAGAAGATTAATTCTAAGAAGATTACAAAACTAAAAATATCGTAGTATAAGATTACTGTTGATAGAAACGTACGGTCTTGATATTACAATTGTCTTCTGGGATTTATGACCTTCATTCCAAGTAACTTCCTCTCGTCCATGACATTGAGTCTGGGAAAATATAGGCTATCCAAACACAAGGTGACAGGAGGATACTCATATTCGAAATTATTGAATATACAAACCTTTGTAACAAACTGTTGTTGTTTAGGATTATAGATGGAAAAATGGTATTTGGTTGGTCCTTTAAAGATAATTTCACCATTTCCTGTGCAATACAAAAGCTCACTGTATCTTACAAAATAATGCTCGCAAAACCCTAATGGTACGTTGCAAAGTTTCATTAACCATTTCCATCCATCTTGTTCCTTGATCCAGATGTTTATAAGTTCATCCATGGTTTTGCCACCATATAAACTGAGCCAACCTTTCAAAGTAGTCAAACGAAACAATTGATCATCTTCACTTATAAAATTTGGTTTTGGAAGTACCTTCAGTTCGTCTGCCTTCACATCAAAATATATAATTCTAGAAGCTTTACATACAAGATGGTCAAGTTCTTGATTTAGAGACCAAAATACACAATCATATGTGCTAATACCCTGACCATAGAAATATGAACATGAACTAGTTGTTCCTCTTAAACTAAAGAGACTTTGCTTTAATATAGGAAGAGTTGGTTTTGCCGTCCAACTATTCATATTACTCATAGACCAAACAACATAAACCTCGTTATAGATCGAAATAATCTTGTAATCATCAGTAATAGAATCATAACACATCCCACAACCATAAGGAAGTATGTTGTCGTAAGCTTTCAGATATGGACATACGAGAGTTCGTTGTTGTCTAATTGATGGATTCCACAAAATAAATTTGTAAGACTTACGTTTTTTCAATAGTACCAATCCATCATATGAGCATAAAACATCATGATCAGCACGAAATCTCTTTAGAGGAAAGAGTTGCTTTTCTATGGCAACTTGTGGACTAATTTCCAAGTCCATAAACCTGAATTCGGAGGTAAAAGCTCTTTGTAACAAGAGTTTTTTACCTCCCAAAGCTTTGGAATGATCACGGTGAGCTTTTGTGAATTCTTCCTCAGATATTATAGCATTCCATGGTGCGGAAACAGATCGAAAACGTAACAAAGATTTAACAGGTAGATTAATAAGGATGAAATATAAGATATCACATGGAACAATGGATGTACTGTCCTCAAAGGCTGGTTTCTTATGTAACTTCGTCTCCTTTGACATTATTATGTCTTCGGCTGTTGGGGGGTAAGTTGTGGCGCAGGAAAGACAGCTTCCTATATATTAGGGTTTAATATTATTGGAGACTGAAGGAAGTAACATTGGAGAAGGAAATTGAAGTCAAGACTTGTTATGAGGAAAAAGAATTCTTTTCCTTTATGGTTTGTACTACGACGATTCTTTCCCACGAACCCTACCAAAACTCAACTTACATATTTGCTACTTGCTATTCTGTATGTTGCACAAGTCTAACATGATCTGCTATAACTATGCCCTTCTTCATTCACGCGATAATGCTGGATCGAGCTTTCGCCCATTGTCCAAGATTCCCCACTGCTGCCCCCGTGGGAGTCCGGGCCGTGTCAGTAAGGGTGTCAATAGATATTTAAAAACTGACTAAATCGACGGAACGTATCATACCGAATCGATTTTTAGGTTTCTTTTAATAAAATCGTAGGTTTTTATATAAACCTATAACCGTACCGATAATTAGTGTAAGTTTTTTACTTTATGAAAGCAAACCGAAAAAATACCGAACCGTACCAAATAAATTTACATGTGAAAAATATATTTATATATCAAGTTTAAAAATAATAAAGCACTAAATTTTTTCGTGGGCCTTGGAATTATGAATATGATTAAAAGTCAACAAGTAATTAAACTCAAAATCATAATTTCCAACTTATTTCCCGCATATTCACTGGCAAGACACACGGTATTCTGGCGATTATGAGTAGCAAACTACAATGTATTAAATATGTTTAATTTCGTACGATTTAGATTTATTTTTTTGAATATTTAATCTTCTATAGACTTTATTCTTGAGTCCCAACTTGGTTAATATCTTTCCACTCGTGTAATTTATATTTTCTTTATCTTTTCTTTAGTTTCTTTTACGCTGTTGTAGAATGGTTAATGAATCTATACTCTGACCATCTTTCATGTTCTTAATTTCATCATCCTTTAAATAGTAAAAATGTATAGAGTGTTTTCCTCAGTTCTATAAAAGTACGTATGTTATTGCATTTTACTTCTACTAGTGACTTTTTAAAAAATATCGAAAATTAACCGAACCGTACCGATACCGAAGAGAAATCGACATGAGACGGTTTTGAAAAGTCTAATTTTATTTATACACAATAAAATAACCAAAAAATTTATATGATGCTAATTTTATAAAATAACTGGCCGAACCGAACTATTGATACCCCTAATAACTAGTTAGCAATAGATAATATATAAGAATTATTTAAGATGTCACTGTATATAAGTTTAACCTTTCAAATTACTAATGACTAAGCAAATAGAAAGTACAATTAATTATTGAGATGGCAATTAAGAGTCTGTTTGGCCAAGCTTGTAGGAGGCCAAAAGTATTTTTTTTGGTCAAAAAAGTACTTTTGGAAAAATTTAAGGTATTTGGCCAAAATAAAAAAGGTAATTATGAGCAACAACAGAACTAGTATTTCTGCTTTTGGGGAGAAACTACAAATTCTAGCTTCTTCCAAAAGTAGAAGCAGAAGTAGAAAACTAGTTTATTCAAGACAAAAATAACCTTACAATAAATTTATATTTTCTAAATTATCCCTCATTAATTTAATATTTTTATTCCTTTTCCTTTTTCTTTTATTTCTACTATACATTTCTTCTCTTCTTTTATTTTAATCATATTTTTATTCTCTTTCTCCTATTCCTATATTTTAAATTTGTATTGAATGATGTATTTTGACATATTTAAATTATCATGTAATAATAAGTAATACCAAACACTTAATGTTATTGCTTTAGAATAACTATATTTTATATTAATTAGAATTATTAATTTATATTTTTACTTTACATTTTATATTTTAATTGAATTCTTTTCTAATAAATATTTAAATTTATTTTTCTTTTCTAAATAATACTTAAAAATTGAACCTTTATTGTCCTTTTTCCTAATATGATACTTAAAAGTGCTTTTTAAAAGATATGTCAAACACAATAAGCTTGGTTAAACCAAATACAAACTTTTATTGTACAAAAATATTTTTTCAAAAGCACTTTTGAATAAAAAACGCTTTTCAAAATAAACATTTTTTGGCAAAACGGCTCTAAATCTTCTCGGTTCATGCAAGATCACTAACAATTCCGGCATGAGTTGTCGTCTACAGTACCAAAAGCCAATCGTTGTCACTAATTTTTAAACAACATTACTATTATACTATGTAGAGACTAGTCCAAATAAGATATGAGAAAACATACAAACTTCATTATAGATAAAGTTCATTTTTTTGGTGAAGTTAAACATTCAGTAGTTCAGAACTAGGTCCTTACATCACTTTCTTAGCAGGTTATATTAAAAAAAATTGAAAACATAAAGGACATGCCGAAGGAATTACTCTCATTTTAGCTGAATAAACCAGACAAAAATTGATCTAATAAAACTAAGCCATTTTTGTTCCATTAATATCTTCTTCGGTTTAAGATGTAACAGACAAATGAATGGGGAAAAAAATGCTCGGATTTGCTACATGTATTAAGCTGCAAAAACTAGCTTATAAGCTAAAGTTATTGACTCCGTCATTATCAAGATGAGACTTTAAAATGGAATAATATGGATAACATCTCGCAGAAAGTAATCAACTTCAAATTTAAACTATAATCACTGTATACACCAAACCATATGTAGGGTGTTGATAATACGCGAATATATATCAGTGATAGACACACAAAATGCACAAGAAATTCATCAACAAGCAAGAACTTATAGCAGGAATCCTGTAAACTTTGGATAATGAATCACTTCCATCTCTTGAACTTGTGTTTGCCAAACATGCCATGTTTCCAACGCTTGCCAAACTTCCCATGCTTGAATTTTCCGTGCTTAAACTTGCCATGATGGCCGTAATGGCCATAATGGCCGAAAGGACGACCATGATGACCATGCATGAGATGGTGAGCCCCATATGCAGCTGCAGCTGCAGCTGCACCACCAGCTAGCATACCTCCCATATTAGGTCCATGTCCTGTAAAAGTTCTTAATAATCAACCAACTGTAATGTAAAAGATAACAATAAGATCCATTTCCACATTAGTACAAGTTGATGTACTCGGTGGTTGCTCAATAAAAGCAAGTAGGATTCACTTGTCAAATGATGGATTTAAATGGAAAATGCAAAGAGGTATGGAAATGGAAGGATAAAAACCAATTAATATTGCATGCGATGCCAGCACTCTCTTTGGGTAACTTAAGCGTTGAACTAACAACCTAACATAAACCAAGTAAACTCAAAACTAACGTCTGATAACCAAAACTAACTCAAAACCAAGTCACGACCAGTACTATACTATTTAGCACATGAGATTGTAGCTTCGTAAGCAAGTTAAATCAGTAATCAAAAGTATAATCTCAAAGAGATGAATAAAAGCAATGCTACTGGGAGATGATCCAAGTGCGCGGAGCACGTACACCTGTTAAAAGTTCTCTCTCACACCAAAGCTTCAATAATCTCCTTACTCTTTTAATTTCTATTTACTTCTCTATTGGTAGAAGGTACGTATCACCTACTTAAATTACGGATCAACAGTTCGAATTTATCAGATCATGCATTTGAGTTCATGTATTCTCCTCCAAACCACTAGTAGGCTACATGCCAGGGACATTGCCTCAAGTGTATAAGTTATCAATTATATTAAGAACCAGAGCAAGCAGAAGATAGCAAACATTCTAAGATAAACAAAATAGCCTAATTTATATCAGTTTCATTAACTTTTCAAATAATAAGAAACCCTCCCCCTCCCTACCCCCCCC